GCAACGACAGATGCTAAAGGAACCGTTGTGCCCCTACCGGCACTCCTATTCCCAACTCGACCTCTATTCCCTCATGCAGACATTCAATAAAATCCCAAAACAAAACCAAGCTTAGTACTCAACACAACGCCCTTTCCTAAGGTACGCACTCGCCACCTCTAGGCTACAAGACACACTTACTTCCCAAAACATACAATTTCTATCGCATATAAACAATTAAACACCTAAACACATAATCGAATCAAGTCCTCAAAAATAGACACTTATCCCGAAACTCTCAAGGAATTCCTATTAGAAACCACATTGATTAGGCATGTTTCCGATAAGATGTCAAAGCAAGTTTACTGGCTACAAGTGCTATCCAAGAAACTTAATCCGATGCTCACATAAATGCAACATATAAATCCTACCACTTACCCTAACTATATGCAACGTCCTCACCAAGCATAGTAAACCCGATGTGATAAAAATCACTCCCCACGAGCCCAAAGTATTCAAACCCGGCTCGCTCTAATACCAAGTTGTCACGCCCCACATTTTATTACTCAAAATCCATTACCAAATTCATTCAATTTCAGAGATGACATGCGGAAACCCTTTTACATCATTTGTAAGAATAAATGAATATTCTCTCATCCGAAAATGCAACATGTACATAACTAAATAAATTACCCGCAGGCTTACATCTTTAAACTAAAAGAAAGGGTTTAACCCATTTACATCAATGGCATTATGCTCACAAATAAAAGTCCTCGTGGCCAATACATAAAGAAGATCCTCGATCTTGAAACCCATCTCAACGTTCACCTGAAAAAAGATTAGCAACGTGGGATGAACATAAAGTTCAGTAGGGATCTCAACATGATCCTAAACAATAGCAACTTACAGATAGCTATGATCATGAATGCTTAGTCTCAAACTGTATAAATATTGTGGCGGTTTATACAAAAAAAAAAAAAAAAATGTATATAAGAACTTTTCTCAAAACCGTTTATTTCATTCAATAACATAAGCAATTCACTTTTCTTTCTTTTTGCTACCTTTTTCTAAGATTCATATGACTATAACAAATTTTTGGAAAAAAACAATTTTACCAAGCCCATTATGTTTTCTCTCACTTTCTAGACTTATACCCGATTTACCTTTTCAAAACATGTTCACAAGTATTCAAAGTCTTTCACATTTTTCACAATCTCAACACGACAATTACGTCTGTTTCCAACAAATTCATAACTATACAAGTATGCCTCTAATACACAAGGAAAACAACAAGCAATCAATAACTATCTGCTTCAACAATTGAGGCAACACGGCCTTCTAGAACAATAACCATAATAACTCATGATATACTCAGATACACTGAGACAATAATGATAAATAAGTTCTGCTCTGCCTGCCTTAATCAAGGTAAGTTAAGGATACACCTTTCCATAACAAAATGCCAAGTTAAGTATACACCTTTTCATAATAAAATTCCAATTCAAGGATATAGTTCATCATCATCTAAACATTTCAAAATGAGACTACAACTCATTTATTAACACTTCAATCATAAACATTTATTCATGCACTTCCACTTCTTGCCATTTTACGGAACGACGTCCGAGGGAACCGGCACCCAAATACATATAAGATTTCTAAAATTTCACCCTGGACACTCTGGCTAACTTAATTATCAATGGAGTCCATCCCCTATCTCCTCCCAAACAATAGAATACATCCTCTATCTCCTCCCAAACAAAAGTACATATACAATATATTTAAACACGCTGTCATATACAATGACCAATTAAATCACATATTCAATGTTCAAATCCAACCGTCATATTCAATGACATAATCCAATTGATTAGTTTCAATTCACCTACTCATCATGCAGTTTCTACAACAATCATGGCTATTCTCCACCGATAGCCCAAAACAGATATTTCTAAACAGATAAATAAATCTATCAAAATACATAAACTATCCATATTTTCATAGGTGAAAGATTTCAAATATCCAACCCCATCATTTACATTCATATCTATCCATTTATGCATCTAATACGAAAGGAAAACAAAAATCCAATTCTCGCATGACTTTCATTCCAATAACAATGATAATATGTGAAGGTTCCAAGATTTGACCTCAAGTTCATTATTCACTCACGAAGGGTGATGATTTCATTTTCTTTCAAAAGACCACTTTTGTTTCTTTTCCAATCCACACAACTCCAACCATTTTCTAATTATTCATTCTTGTCATTTTACAAAACCAAACCAAATCCATCATCTTTATTTTACAAAACCAGTTCCTTTGGTACCAAAATCATAACTCAACTTAACTTCACGTGATTAGTCTAAAACAATACCAACACAGTAGTTACTTCTCTTTTTATTCCTTTTGATGTAAACACAATTATCCAACCCATAGTAGCAAAATATAAAGAGTACTTAACTCCCTCCCTTTTAAATGCATTATATCAATAATATCAAATTAGGGTTTTCCTCTCTTTCTTCACAAACATAGTAAATCATTTCCCAAATAACTCAACAATAAACAATTTAACAACACCAATCAAAAATATCAAACCCTAGATCCCGTTTCATGGTTTTCAAGAAAATCCATAATGAATATGGTTTTTATGCAATAAAAACTACCACATGTCTATCCATAGATGGAGTATTGAAAAAGATCAAAGAAATCCCTTCATCTTGAAGCAAAGAGAAAACAACTCAAAAACCACCGGCGAGGAAATCACGAACCACTTGGATCAAAACGAAGCTCTTGACAAGCTCCACACTTAATCCGAAAGGAGAAAGGCAAGGAAATGCTTCCAAGAGAGTACATCTAAAGATCTTTGAGCAAAAAGTGCTTTTTGAGAAAGAGGGAGAGAGTCATACAGTTTAGAGAGAAAAAAGGGAAGAAGAAATAAAGAAAAGGGTTAGGTGAGAACCTATTTATACTACTAGGTCAAAAATAGAAATAAGCCCCAAAGCCAACCCAAAATATCAAGTCAAAATCCCCAAAAGTGGACCCCCAAAACGAACTAAAAAATCTGAAAAAGGGTCGTAGGTGTCGACCTCTACAACAGAGGTGTCGACACCAAAGAGGAAAAATCTAGGAAGACTATGTTTGACTGCACTGCAGGTGTCGTCCCTTCCCCAAGTTGTTGTCGACACCAAAATGTAGTGAGCAATTTCAGAACAAGGGTCAACCCTTCCCCGGATTGGTGTCGACCCTTGCGGCCAACCAAAAGAGAAGGTGTCGACACCACCAAACCCAGTGTCGACCCCAGAACATGATTTTCAAGTTTCCAAACAACTTTTCAACACGAACAAGCGTGAACCGGCAATCCCAACAAGTTTAAATCAATTTTTACTCATCTAAAACCAAGATACAATAACACCAAAGGTTCCCAAAACATAATAAAGGATTCAAATACACTTCCCAAAAGTTTGAAAATGGGTACAAGTGCTACAAAAAAAGTTGCTTATGTCCTAATAAAAGGACCAGCATTATATATATAGCGCATTGTCCATTTTATTACTACAAAAATCTCGGGGGATTGACTTCTGGTAAATTTGGAAAAGTCTAACTTTTAAATTTTTTTATTAAAATATAAGATGAAAAAAATTATTAATATATTTGGAATAATTATTTGATTGTTTTTGTTTAAAAAAATGTACAAAACATAGAGGAGAAAAAGAATCTTTATTTTTTTTATTTAATTTTTCAATTTCTTAAATTTTTTAATTACCTTTTTACTATTTTATTAACTTCCCAAACTTGGTTGCCTTTAGTTGGCAACACATAATATGACACCTTATTTAGTTATTTTTTTATTTTGAAATGTTGATTAAAAGTTGAATTTTTTTTATTTTTTTATTTATTTTTTTTTAAACAGTGGGTAAAAAATAAGAGAAGTGATATGACTCAAAATAGGTTTTGGCTTCCAACTAAGTTTTCAAATTTGGCCTTTGTGCTCTTTTGGTAAAAAGTTACGTTTGTAGCTTATTTGCTAAAAAAGCTAGCAAGGAGTCATTTGGCAAGTCTAAAAAAGTCACATATAAATTACAATTATATTCTTTATGTTTTTTTGATATTTACATGGGTAAAAATATAAATTTTCTACATTGGGTAGGGGTAGTTTAGTCATTTTATTGTGATGCGACCTCATAAACAAATATTAATACAAAAAAACCAAGATTTAGTAGTGGCCAAAACTGTCGCTAAAAGCAGGAAAAAGCGTCGCTAAAAACTAAAACACCTTTACCCGCGGTTGCAATAGTGGCGGCCAAACCGCCGCAATAGCCCCGTCGGCATATCCTTATAGTGACGTTTTTCGCAAACGCTGGTATAGTTATTTTTATTGCAACGGTTGATGTAGTGGCAGTTACAAATGTCGCTATATCTTGAATTTACCAATTACTTGCTAACTTTATAGTGACGGGTCGACTGCTGCTATATCCTTCACTTTTGCGACATTTTGTAAACCGCTGCTATATTTTGATTCTATTCCATCAGTTTTACACTGTCGCTATAACCATATAATTCGTTTCGAATTTTATTTACAGCGACGGTTATTAACCACTGTTGTAGGCTATATTTTTTTTTTTGGGGGGGGGGGGATGAATAAAGTCATAAATAAAACGAAAAAAAACTACAAGATACAAGGGGTATACCCTAGGAGCAAACCAACTATACAAAGACACATAAACCAAAAAACAAAAAAAGACAATCTACACAACAAAAACCATCCTGTTCACACACCACATAAGCAAAGAGCAAATGAGGACAAGAACAAGGCAAACAATACCAAAAAAAACCTAAGAGCAACATAACCTGATTACATTGAAAAGATCCAAACAAGAAAAGGAACTAGAAACAAAACCCAAAAGGCCATATTACAGGGACAATTTGATTACAAAATGATCAAAACAGACATCATAGCCCTGCTCACATTATATATCTATAACAACACTATTTTATTCTGATGGCTCAATACTCAATAATTGTAAAAGGTAAAAGAGTCTGCATTTTCATAATCCCAAAATATCCAAAACACCTTAATTAAAAGGTTCATTACATAAGCCTGTAATACAAAAAGTTCCAATGTTTCTAGCAAACTAATAGCCCACACCATAATCCAAAAGAAAAACTTGTCACATAACAATAGTACTCAAAAGTATTACTCGTGACACCATTTTATAAAGATCTCCATGAAAAATGTTCAAATCGAGAAATGACGTCCATTGTTTGATACTTCATATTATCTTATTTCCTGCAATAAAAATAATTGAATGAGTATAAGTATCATTTTCAATTTTAAAATCTATAAAGAAAATTTAGACAACAAATAATTCTCGACAAGTCTTATTTTATTTTATTTTGGTAAGTATATGGTTTACATATAAAAAAATAAAGATTACAATGAAGTTGAAGATCATCAAGCCAAACATTAGTAGCAGCCACCAAATCAAGCAACCACTAGCAACATCTAAGGGTCTATTTTTAATTTTATATTACAGTTTGATACGTTGCTGATATTCAAATTTGTTCGATTTTTGCCCAATTCTCTATTTCATTGGTTTGTTTGGTATTTTTACGGATGCCAATAAAGGAAGCAAAGTAGATAAGTCAACCTATCAAACCCCAATTTCGTCCAAACTAACTAACTAACAATTTATTGGTAAAGAAGTCATTAACAGTGGTTCTAAATTTGTGTCAATGTATGTGTATTGTAATGATGATTTACCTCGATTAGAAGGTTGCATTTCATGACTCCGAAAAGAGGTTCTTTGATGTGTTCGCGGAGAAGCTTGGTCCGGAATGCCACTACATCCATCTGTCGCCTAATTTATACAATAAAATTTACATAAGTATGCATAAATTTAGAAAATGATAACATATGATAAATACGTCTTATAAAAGAATATGTTATATGTAGTTATACCTGCAAACCACTAGAACTATGTCTCTGACTCATCAAAAATGCTACTTGCTCTTTTAAAGAGTTTATTACAGCATCTTGAGCTTGCAACTGAATACCTTGAGTTTGTAACTGATCACCTTGAGTTTTTAGTTGTTCCTTCAACTCAATTATAGTGTCTTTGTCTCTCATTCTCTCTTCATCAGAAACCATTCTTAAGTGGTCAAAATTATTACACATGAAACCATGCTTGGAAGGAGTAGGCCCAAATCCTAAACCTCGAACACGACCATGATGCTCTTTACCCATCACCTGAGAATAAATATCATTTGGTGACCAAGATATACGTCCACCAACATTTCCTTCGGAGCTGCTTGGTTGTGAGCTCATCAAAGCTTCTAGTTTTTCCTGTAGCATAAATGGGGGGAAAAAAATAAGACGACAAAAAGCGAGAGTGATTGTTTGCCACAAACACATTAGAATTTTGAAAATGTAACTTATTAAATGGGCATACAATTTTTGTAGCTGCTGCTTCATTGACTGGTGTCCCATCTTTCCTTTTGTGAAGCGGTATATATAATTTTGCTCGATCTAGTGCAATCTTATCTTTTTGCTCCTATGTAACAATCATATCATTTGGGAATAAAATCATAATACAATGTGCCAACCAAATTCAAAATATAAAAAAAGAAAAGAAGTTTGAAATACCATATCATATGCATGTTGTGCATAAGTTTTAGATCCTGCTGTATGTGCACTTGTTTGCTCTCGCCTGCTTTCCTTATTGGTTGCACTAAGTTCCTTCACTCATAAATGCATAACAATATGTTAAAAAAAAAATGATATAATGACATTGTATTATTTGATAGAAAACATACATCTATGCATACCTGTCCTTCCTTTGAAAACCAATACGCGACAAGGTCAGCATAGTGCTCACGGTTAACTGTTAGAGGTGCAGTAGCTACTATCTGTGCTGCTGTCTTTGTCTCATCATAGTACTTTGCTTTTAAACTACATTTCCAATTTCTCCGTTTCTCTCCCATTGACTTCAATGTTCGATGCCTAATCATATCCCTTCTCTCATCTTGAGGAATGGCAAACTTGGACTACAATTGTATGGTTTTTCATGTTATGAACATTCTTAAAATTATCAATACAATAATATAAACTAAATTTGTGCATTTCTTTGCCTAATTCTCATATTTTTACATGGAGATAATGAACCACACTAATTTCATACTTCTTACTTCTAGACGACACCTATATCCTAATATAGGAAAGGAACTTTCAGACAATCCTATCAACAATTTTCTTTACCACTGTAGTAGAATTATCACAAAATACTTGTAGTTACAAAATTACCTCGATAATAATCCAACAATCTTCTTTATACTGATCTGGCACTTCATGCCAATTCTTGTACTTAATTGGGCATAAGTGTGGCTTCCTAGCAATGGTGCCTATGAAGCGACTGAATATACCACCCTCTGTAGAAACAGCCTGCAAATCCTTGTTGAAGGTGAGCATAATGCGTTCTTCTAGAGTCAAATTCCACACTTCAACCATACGTGTAATTCCCCGCGTGTTTCGCTTGGTCGATTCATCTATTACAATACAACAATGATATATATCACGGAAGTTAAGGGTGACTTGTAATTTGTACCGCAACTAAAAATCTAATAATACCTGTACGTTGCATTTCTTCTTCCCTTAACCAGTCCTCATCTAAATCATCTTCAAACTGAGGGTTAACCTCTGATTCTTGAGGTTGAGCGTGTGGAACATGTGATGGAGCATGTGAGGAGGGATGTGACCAACTAGGTTGTGAAGAGCCATTTGATCGCTTATTTTGGGACTCCTTCTCAAGATTGCAAGTTCTAAATCGTTTCTTTGCCATATCTGCTAGATAAACAATAGATGTAATTAATCAAACACAAAGATATTAATCAAATTAAATGAGCATTTATCATAGTATACTAAAGATATTAGAGAACATAAGCCATAGGAAAAGCTCATATACACCTCGCAAGATTATTTTCTTTTTCTACTTCTAAGGAGATTTTCTGTACACAATGCATGGAAAGAGGAACAGATCTGTTACAATGGTGGATTGGGTATAAATTTAGAATCTTGGAATGGAAAATATGGGATGTGTTTCCTTTTGCTGCACTGTGGTATTTGTGGAGGGGCAAAATGATTGTAAGTTCATTGGTTCTCAACTAAGGGTGCAGTCTCTAGTAAATGGTGTTTGATTGTCTTGGCACGGTTGTAGGGGTGAAGAAGGTGCCAATCCTGAGTCTGCTCTTGATTTTTTGGCAAAACACTGTCAGTGGGCTGTGGTGACATTAGGCCCTAATGGATGCATTGCAAAACATGGAAAAGAGGTCAGTGATATGTTATATTTGTCTCCTCTTCCATAGTTTTGGTTATTAGAAATATTAATATATAACCTGGTTATATATATAAAATCTGTGGAACTTTGAAAGGTAACTATTCCATGGAATCTTATAATAATCTCTCTTCCAAAGGCACATGTGTACCCCTTATGGAATGGATATTATAATTGGTATCATCCTAAACATTGTGAGTCTGAATTTGTTATGTAATGATCATGGCAAGTACACAAGATTAACACAAGACATTTATTCTGCTTTAAGTACACAATATGCTCTCTTTTAGTATATAGTAAGTCCACAGACACAGATCTAACTACAGAAATAGATCTAAGTACAGAACATTAGCACTAAAAAAGTGCACTTTTATATTTTTTTACTTTTTGGTAAGTAATGGATAGAATTTCATTACCTCTTTCAGATTGTTCGGGTTCCAGCAATTGGGGAGGCAAAGGCAATAGATGCCACTGGAACAGAGGACCTGTTTGCAAGTGGGTGTTTTTACAAATTGGTAAAGGGGCTAAACCTAGAGGAATGCTGCAAAGTGGGCTTATGCAATGGTGGCTCTGTTATTCGGGATCTTGGGGGTGAGGTCACACCACAGAACTGGCAATGGATGCATAAACAAATGCAGACCAAGGGCCTCACTGTCCCCAGTAGTGATGAGTGATATCTCCTATCAAAGAGGATTTTTTTAGGGTTTGGGTAATCATTATTGCTATTGTTTCATGAGTCAATGTTATTTGGCATTAATGATAGGCCAAATCAATTAACTAACCATGAACTAATCAATATTTTCACAGACCATAAGATTTAAACACTGAAGCCAAGCAAAACTGTACACATTTTATGCCTTTCTTCACCAATAATACTAACCATTTAGGTTCAAAGTATGAATCAAGGTGTGATCAGTAAGATAGATAAAGAGACATGCATGCGGATAAAGAACATAGCATGACAAGGTTCAACATAAGCAAATATAGCATGACAAGGTTAAACATAAGAATTTGCCTCTGTTCTGTTCATGTAAAATTGGTGAACATTGAGAAAATCCTCAAGGTACTTTAAGTGGCAAATGTGGGGCCTAACCTGGGACCAATACCTTATTTGTAAGTAATATTCCTTTTTGTGGGACCTTTTGGTCATTTAAAAAAAATTTATAAAAACTGAGGGCTCTCTCATAGGCTCTTTTGATGTACGTGGGTGGCATCCCCTTGATGCTAATTAATGTAGTCATTATTTACTAAATAAATAAGTAAATGGTGTAGGAATTTACATAGGCTGCAATACATGTATACAAATATGTATGTGCATGTATATATATATATTTATGTCTCGGAAGTTGTAGAAGTTCACTCTCAATTAGATCATAATTGTAACCACCAATGGTTATATTCAGAAGATGCCCAAACAAAATATGAGGTAAACAGGGATCTGCAAATGTTAACTACACAGATCAAACCCATGCATATGATGAGAGAGAGAGAGAGAGAGAGAGAGAGAGAGAGAGACCTCAAACAAAGTTAAATCACTACCAGCAGTTATGTTCCAGACAATTCTAGTGGCCTTCTCTATGCCAATATCTAATAAAGGTGATTGAACGGCATTTAATGCAGCATCTCTTGCTCTGGACTTTCCTACACAAGAACAAATACCACAAGATAACTTAGAGAAATTTGGCCACTCATCCTATTTCATCAGACTAAAACAAAGCCAAAAGCAAAATGCAGAAAAAAAATAAAACAAAAATATATCTGTCCATACATTTTCTTTTCTTGGCTTAATTAAGGTTACTTATATTACTTTCTTTTTCTTTTTTTTTCAATGCCAAAAAGCCCAGCTTATCATAATCAGACCGACCACTAAAACAGAATACATTAACTGAGCAGCCACCAACCAGTAAACAAAATTGAGCAGACCAACAAAGCTAAGCAGACCAACCACTACAAGAGACCAAACAAAGCAGACAGCAGCTAAACATAAACAGGACAGCAGCAAAGCAAGCCATACAGCAGCAGCAGCAGAGATTCACCACAGTAGCAAAAACCTCTATTGCATTGAGATTTCATCAGCAAAAACAGTACTCAATTAGTACTCTATCACCCCAAAGCCAAAGGCCATCACTACAACATTGCACTCAGCAGCACCAAGGATCACCACTAAACATATCAGGACAGCACTCAACAAACCAGTACTCACCTCAGTAGCAAAGAAACCTCTATTGCATACAGCAGCAAATAATCACCACGAAGCACCATCCAGCAGTAGCAGAGGTTCACCACAATAGCAAAGAAACCAGCAGTAGACAACTAAGGAAACAGAACCAGCAACCTGAACCACAAGCTAAGAACTCTGCAGCCTGATGGTAATGCACACTCAAAACTGGTGCCTAATATTCCAGCAGAAACAGCAGCCTTATCCACACTAGCAGACTTCTACCTTACAAACCAGCACCTGAACTGGTTCCTTGAAAACCAGCCCAGAACTGAAACACAACAAACCTGCTACTAGCAGACTAGAAGCACCAATGCAAACTTAGAACTCTGCAGCCTGAAGCTAATGCACACCCAAACTGGGGCCTAGTATTCCAGCAGAAACAGCAGCCTTATCCACACTAGCAGACTTCTACCTTACAAACCAGCACCTGAACTGGTGCCTTGAAAGCCAGCCCAGAACTGAAACACAACAAACCTGCTACTAGCAGACTAGAAGCACCAATGCAAACTTAGAACTCTGCAGCCTAAAGCTAATACACACCCAAACTGGGGCCTAGTATTCCAGTAGAAACAGCAGCCTTACCACAGTAGCAGTCTTCTACCTTACAAACTAGCACCCGAACTGTTGCCTTGAAAACCATCCCAGAAGCATACCACAATAACTCGGATCTCACACCAGACCACAATAACACAGATCAAACAACACAGGGACAGATCAGAAAGAAACAGAAATTAGCTAGACAGTAACCTTAGCCAAGGCAGACTAAAACCTGTTGAAGATGATGTACAATGTCATTGACTGAGTTACTTATATTACTTAATTCAGATAAGTATTCAGTGCTACCTTCAACATATTTAATTTCTTATAGGAATTCATAATATTAAAATTTAAAACCTTAGAAAAGCATTTAAAAAAAAAAGATCGTAATTAAAATCTAGCCACTGAAGAACACAATAAAAAATTGATTTGGCCTATCATTAATGCCTTAAAAATCCCTAGGGATAGTTTGAGCACAATAATTTGACTAGAATTTTGAGCAGGCTGAATGTAATCATATCAAAATCGGACAGTACATAGTTCAGGTTAGGCAAGAACAGCACCAGCATTATGGTGCAGATGCCCAGAGGCAACACATTAAACTGCTCTGTAAGAAAGAGGCTCCAACACATCCACATCATCCCAAGTGTTGTTAGTAAACTCCTTAGTTCATTAAACATCACATGACACAATAATAGTACTACATTCAGACAGGTGCGGACATACATGACTATACTCACCTCTCATAGACGAATGCAGACTTCTTTCTTCTCAAGATATGATATACCTAGATTCGCCAACTAAAAGTTAAAACCAGAGAGAGCAAAAAAACATATTGTCAAGATGCTGATTTGACAGTCCAAGTTTTTAATAGCTACATTTAACAACAAACATTAAAATAAAAAACACGGGTTGCCATACATATATGAAACTAAGAAATTTGAAATTTATATTCAAAACCAAATCATGTTTCAAAGATTAACATGAGAATAAATAAATTAAAATCAAACTAGTTGAACTCAATAGCTAGACATCCTCATCTAAATCAGCTTCATCGATCAGTTGGTTATCAAGTGGAAGTGGTATATTGATTGTCGTTCCATCAGTATCATTTCTAGCCCAATTGAGGTTTTCATTCGCATCCACATGAGTGTCTTCAACTATCATATTATACGGCTCGTTATCATAGTAATTGTCAACATCACCATCACCCAATTCAGTAGTACCAACATCAAACACATCCCTCGCTTTTGTTTTAACAACAACCAACCAATTTTCATGCCTTACATCTCCCACATAATAAACTTGTGTTGCTTGAGATGACAAGACAAATGGTTCATCATTTAACCGTTCTCCAGTATGTATCAAATGTGAAAAATTTACAAGGTTAAAACCATATTCATCTATCTTGTAGCCTCTACTTGTGTTCACATCAGCCCAATTGCATTTGAATAGTACATAATTCAACTTGTCAAAATAATTCAGCTCAATGATATCAAATAAAACACCATAATACATGGTGCCTCCTTCAGTGGCCACACAAACCCCACTATTCTGAGTTTTCTTCGTCTCCTCGTAATTTTTAATTCGGAACTTAAAACCATTAACAAAATATCGTTTGAATCGTCTAGCTAGAGTGTTTGGGCCTTGGGCAAGCCACTTGATTTCATCAGTAAGTTGTTGCTTTCTTGTGTCATCCATAGCACAACCTGATATATTATAGAATCCATTAAAATGATTACATTAATCTCTATGCTAAAAATTATATATGATAATAGTATTATTTAATAGCTACATACTTACATATGATCGAAACCACTCACAAAACTTTTCCATATGCATCTTATTAAGAACTTCATCAGTTAGACGACGCGGATGACTTTGTCTCTTTATATGCTCCTTGTGTTCTCTCTATGTTTATTCCTAACTTGTGTTACTATTGCAAGTATTAAAATGGGAAACTCAAACTTATTTATATACCATAACTCATAAATATTACTTACATCCGATATGGTTGAATTTCATCATTGTTAAATAGCACATAACGATGTGCTTGTATCCATGACTTTTGATCAAGTTCGATATTCATTATTGCCCCTGTAGAATCTTCAACATTTCTTAAGGGTCGATTGAATACAGTTTCAATAGATTCCAAATACCGCGAACAAAATATTAAACACTCTTCAGCTATGTATCCTTCTGCAATAGAGCCCTCTGGATGGGCTTTATTACGAACATAAGATTTTAGTCGTTGGAGATACCTACATGAAAAACAGCATGATTATAGATCGACTAAATTGGATGTCATTGTGATGTGGATTAAAAACACAAATGGATACAAGTTGTCACACCTAACCTCTCAATGGGATACATCCATCTATAGTGAACTGGGCCAGCAATTTTAGCCTCAGTGGCCAAATGGACGACTAAATGCACCATAACAGTAAAAAAGGAGGGAGGGAAGATTCTCTCCAAATTGCATAAAGTCAGTACAATTCGAGATGCAAGTCGGTCAAGCTCTTCCACTTGCAAGACTTTGGAACATATTTCCCTAAAGAAACAAGATAACTCAATTAGAGGTGAAGCGACTTTTTTTGGTAATGTTCCTCGTAATGCGATAGGAAGAAGTTGCTGCATCAAAATATGACCATCATGACTCTTCAAACCTATAATCTTACGCTGTCTAAGTTGAATACAACGTGAAATATTTGAAGCATAACCATCTGGGACTTTTACCCCTTTCAAAACTTTCAAGAAGTCATCTTTTTCTTTTGAAATCATTGAGAAGCAAGCTGGAGGCAAATATGTCTTATTGGAACTGATCTTTTGTGGGTGAAGTTCACGTCTTATACCCATCTCTTGTAAGTCAAGACGCGCCTTTAAGTTATCCTTTGTCTTCCCATCTAAATTCAACAATGTTCCATATACATTATCAATCACATTTTTCTCTATATGCATCACATCAAGATTGTGACGCAATTTTTGATTTGCCCAATATGACAATGTAAAAAATATACTTCTTTTCTTCCATGGTTGTATCTCATCACCATCCGCTTGTTTCTTTCTTTTTTTGTTTTTTTCATTTGCCTTTGTCTTCCTAAATTTGTAATCAAGGTCTTCTGTTTGCATCATGATCTCAAAGCCAGATAGCATATTGGGAGCTGGTTCTGTTTCTTGTTTGCCATCAAATGATGCTCTATCTTTACGAAATCTATGATCTTTATCCAAGAAACGCCTATGGCCCATAAAACAATATTTCCCTCCATGTTTTAACCATCGAGAATGAGTCTCATAATTACTAGAAGGACATGCAAGAGCACCCTTGGTATTCCAACCAGACAAATCACCATATGCGGGAAAGTCATTTATAGTCCACATTAGAGCTGCATGCATTTGAAAGTTCTCTTTGGAAGATATATCATAAGTTTGTACTCCAACATCCCATAATTCCTTCAATTCTTCAACTAAAGGCTGCATATACACATCTATGTCATTCGAAGGGGAGCTCGGACCAGGAATAAGCAATGATAGGATGAAAGAAGATCTTTTCATGCACATCCATGGAGGCAAATTATATGGGACCAATATGACCGGCCATATACTATAACTAGTACTCATATTCCCATAAGGGTTAAATCCATCTGCTGCCAACCCCAACCTGACATTGCGGGAGTCAAAGGAAAAATCTACATATTGAGAGTCGAATGTTTTCCAAGCCATAGAATCGGCAGGATGCCTCATTATGCCATCATTTGTACGACCTTCAGCATGCCATTTCATAGAAGCAGCAGTTTTTGAAGACATGAACAATCTCTGCAATCGAGGCTTCAAGGGAAACCACCGTAAAACCTTTGCAGCCTTTTTCTTTCTCTTTTTAGATGAAGTACTCATATTATGCTGCAAATCATTCTCATTTGTTGCCCACCTTGAAGCACCACAATGACACACTTCATCATTTGCATGTTCTTTCCAAAATAACATACAATCATTAGGACAAGCGTGAATCTTTTCATAACCGAGACCTAAATCCTTAATAATCTTCTTGGCATCATAAGAGGCTTTCGGCAAATTTGCATCTGAAGGAAGCATATCTCTCAAAATTTGAAGCAACATTGTGAATGAGTGGTTGCTCCATCCATTAAGACATTTCAAGTGATACAGATGCACAATTGCTGACAACTTGCTAAAATTCTTGCACCCTTCATACAA